CGCTTTGCAAGGAAGCCAGGACCCTAATAAAGGATGGGTCCAATGTGGCAAGCTGGATATGAGCCACAATCACTACAGCACGTCTGATTGTACAAGGCATTTAGAAACGCCTTAAAAAGTGGTCAAATTGCTTTGAAAGACTTTTTTAGGCATTCTTAAAAGCGCCTGCTATAACTAGGACGCGAAAGAGCTTTTGTGGCATTTTTTCAAAATGCCTTCTAATATCAATATGTAGAGGCGTTTTCTAGATGCCTAAAGTACTTCTTAGAGGTATTCTGTAAAGGGCCTTCAAACATTCATGGAGGCATTATTAAAAATGCCTCCAAAACCAAGTTACCCAAGTTGAACTGCTAGCAATATCAAATCGGCACAGTCCATTATCAAATCGGTGCAATCCATTCAAGAATGAACCAATGAGAGCACACATTAACACTCTACATCCAGACATTTAAATCCTGCAGACATACATAGTTATATTTGTAACCAGATACAATCATAAGGTAGAAAAATAATCAACTATCCATCTCCAAATGATGTTCCTCGGCCTTGATGTTTAGGTCCTTGTTCCCTTTAAGAGAGATAAAAGACTGACATGTTGACATCACAGCCATATAAACATGTATGTGTCCCAATGTGTGAAGGTGTATAAAGTAGTGTGCTAATGTTTTACCGTAGATATTACACTGAACTTTCATAAATGACTTTAAAAACTAGAAACTGAAACCAAACTGAATTTCAAGATATAGCTTACTGATCAGCAGAAGAGCATGATCATTCACTGCAAAGAGCAATTTTGAAAGGATCAGCAACAGATTCCTAATAATTTTGCACGATATAAGAACAATAAGGAATCAGGAGCCTAGAACCCAGTCAGACACAGTTACAAGTAGATCCTCCGATACCTTATTAATTGGTTCAATGGCAAACCGCGCGTGACCAGTGACATGCGAATTGAAGTGAAGCCTAACGCTGTGCCGGCACAGCTGACCGAAACGTGTTCGTCCAATAGGCTCTTGAATTGCTCCCGCGCCTTCTCAATTTCGAGCTGCAGATTCTGTCCTTGTTCGACACAATCACACAAGATCAGGTTCAAGATCCACTCTTATATGTGCTAAAACCACTATACACTTTGCCAAAACCACTATAGGATGAAATTAAACCAAAGCAAGATTGTTAGGCTCACTCTTCATAGAGCATCTGGTTTTCCGTCGTCAAGAAGGAAAATTCGCTCAGCTCTCACTCTCCCATCTACTATCATTAAGCCAGTTTGCTTTGGCCACCGTTCAGGACATCCACGGTAGTAAAAAAGATTTCATCCGTCTGATTTTAAATTCACGGTCCAGATTTACTTCCACCGCTCTTTCCTGTTTGTTCAACGTGTTAGCCTATCGGTGGTTGCTCTAAAAAAAATTGCCTCTCTAGAATTTTCTCCTCGCTTCCACATCCACCCAGCAGCCTCTTCCTCCCCTCCCCGAGCCGCCCTTGCCAGCGCCGCTGCCGCCGCTCCGCGCGCCCCAACCCCGGGGACGCTCCCTCCCTCTACTCTTCCTCTCTCTCTCTCCCTCTCCCTCTCTCTCCCCACGCGCCGCCGCCGCCGCTCCGCGTGCCCCAACCCCAGGGACGACTCCCTCCCTCTCTCTCTCTCTCTCTCTCTCTCTCTCTCTCTCTCTCTCTCTCTCTCTCTCTCTCCCCCCACATGCTGTGCCTTGCCTTGGCAGGCGGTACCCTGTCATGTGGCATGCCCCAGCTCGGTCGGGCATGGTGGCAGCTCCTGCTGTGGCGGTGAGCATCTTGGCAGCCACCCCCTCCCCCGGTCCCCCCGCCATGGCCGGCTCCCCACTCTGGGTTCGGGTGGGGCGGCGGTGAGCCCCCGGCAGGTGCTGCGGCGGCGCGGCTAGCCCCGACAGTTATGGCCTCCGGTGCCTCCGCTGCAGTCCCCTCTGCTCCGTTCACTTGTTATCTCCCAGGTGAAGCAAGAACATCACTCTCCTCTATTAGTCCCATTGCGGTCTCCTCTATTTCCCTCTTCTGATCTGTGCTAGACATTGACGGATTCGAGAAGAAAAGGTAGTTGCTTTCCCTTAATCTCTGTCCCTTCTTCTGATCTATGATAGAGATTGACAGATTCAACAAGAAAACCTAGGTGGTTTCCTTAAATCTCCATCCCATCTCTCCATTTATTAAACACTGATGCACATATCAATGGATCCATTCGTTTCCTTGAAATGGGAACACATCTCGGTACATCTACAAATGGATACCACCTCTGTAAATCCATGCTATGCTCTATTTCTTCCTCCCTGAACTTGCTTGGTCTTGGTATGGTAACCTAAAAAAATCCCCTTTATTTCCTTTGGCACCTTATATCTCTCATGATGATCCCTTAATTTCGTTTCCTGTATGTATGGATTTATTTTGCTTGTGCATAAGGTTCAAGGTTTCCGGCAGAAAAAAATCTAAGCATGTCTCTATGCACTATGCTGCTGTTGTAATCTTTTCAGTATATATAACCGTGTGCCTATGGTGCTGCTTTATTTATTTTAGTCTGAGCATATGCCATTGCTGATGATGTAATTATTCCAACTTGATCATAAGACGATGACGATACCTGTGAGGTGCTTCCGATAGACCTCACCGTATTTTCATGGCATTGCTATTTTGAATTTTTTTTGTTGACCATATGTCAATGCCAATGAGGTTGGAAACAAATATCTTTTTCTGAAATATACCATTGCCATGTGTTAAACCTGCCCATATTTCCATGCCATTGCTACTTTCCGATTGCATTAACATCAACTATGTTAGACTCATCGAGTATGTTTGGCTTGAACTAATGCTATATGCCTCTATAATATCCCTCCACCTTCATGATCTCCCGAATGAATTAGATATGCATCTTTCATAATACCGCTATTTCCTTTTCCTTGCGAATTTTTTCATATTAACCATCAAATTGAATGGCAAATTGTCCGATGTGTGCAAAGCCACGCGTAATGTACTTATCGTGTGTATTACAATGCAAAGTATTTAATTATTTATCGTGTGTATGCTAAGATCTTGAAAAAATATGCGAACATGTTCAGAACCACGATTCCGTTTCCGACTAACCACCGACGCGCGTGAGGGCGCGCGTGATGGACTAGTATACTAGCATACCTGTTTTGTTTTGTCAAGACAAATCAATATAACATAGAGATCGCATAATAATCAAAGGCGATAGTGTGTACCAAAAAGGCACTAGCATGGATGAACAGCAAGGTTGTCTGTACTAACCTGATCAGTAGCCGAGCTGCTGCCGGCCAAATCCTGCATAGCCTGCCTTTTAACCGCAACTGTCAGAGCAGTATCGTCATTCCTTATTGTTCAGTGCCCTTGCCATCCATCAATGGATGATCAGAAAAGAGATCATGTGAGGAAGGAACCCCTTTAATGAAAATTGAAACACAAAGATTTCAGAGCAGAAAAAGGGCAGTTATAATTTAATAACAGCAAGGCAAGTATGCAATGAACTCCTGTTAGGTTGACTTAGTCCACAACATAACAAAAAAAAACACAAAGAGAATCCACCATTAATTGCATGTCTCATATGGCAGAACAAAAACCGATATGAACCGATTGAATATTGAAAATTTTGGAGGGCTCAAAAAACTCCAGTTCACAGCTCAATGCTTCATATCTTCTGCATTCTCGCATTTACTAATTAGTTGACACTAAACTAGGGTTAACTTTGCTAAGGTAAATGGGAAGGAAGATTTAAAGATTGGGTATCAATTTCTAATGGGTTTGTAAAACCTGATCTTAGTGAAGAGAACTTTGCCTAGCTGTCCGAAATATAGTTGTTGATTAACTTGGTCAAGGACATTAACCAACACATGTTGTAAACGAGCCCACCATGAAGGATTGAAGGGAACACGCCCTGGGGCACCCTGAGCGAAGAGCACATGCTAATATGGTCAAGTTCTCTGCTCGAGGTGCTATTGTCTGCTACAGCCATGCATCCTCCAGGGAGAAACCAGAGGTGCGGAGAGTAAGCACGTCATGGTGGAGCAGAGCAGTGCATGATAGTTTATTTATAGACCATGACAACTTCTATGGAGAGTAATGCTGAACATAAATCACATTCTATCCTACAGGTACTGCAAGGTAATCAGTCATACAGAGCCTTAGTTGGATGCACACCTTATCCTAGAGAAGATGAGTTCATAGGCAATGGATGCAGCTCGGTGATGAAAGAAAGTCTAGCTAGCAGAGCGTAGGTTTCAGGTTTCGTAGAAACCTCCACCAGCTGGAGCACATTATATAAGTTTACAGTTATTCTTCAATCATTAACAGAGAAAAATTGGCTAATACTGTGGTGTAAATTGAAATTGCAATAAGAATTTAGTTGACAAAAGAGCATGCATCATTAAATTGAGGTAGGAATCCCTTTGGTTTGAATAAAATTTTGGTAGAAAATTTGAATTAGCACTGTTAAGAAAGTCTATAGGATTTCTGTCAGTTACAAGTGTGCGCTCTGTAAGAAAAATGTATGTTAATTCCACAAGCAAGTACTGTATCACTAACATTGATGAAAATACGCCTACAACATACTGTCCGGAATCTGATAAATGCACAACAAAACTCAGGTCAAGATAGTATACAAATCCACAGGTAAGCACAACAGGAACATACCAAAATTGAATGCATAGGTAGTAATTAATGCTTTACGGACCTAGGTCAGAGGCTCAGAGCAGATCTACATCAAGTACGGGTTACTTGCATACGAACGACGGCACAGGACGTGTGTGGCGGCGCTGATCCGCTCAATGGTGGTGTCGCTAGGGCAGCGGCATGGCAGCAAGGAGGCGAGGGAGGCAGTTAATGTGGAGATGGGGACTCAAGGCGTGGCGGCCGGGCGAGGCGTGGTGCCGACTGGGCGTCAAGGGGAGTGGTGCTGACAGGGCGCAGCGGGGAGGGGCAGGGGTGGTGTTGCGACGGCCAGGCGAGACAGGGTCGGGGACTCAGTTAGCGGCAGCGGCGAGGACCAAGCGGGTGAGGGCGGATCTGGAGAGAGATGCGGCCGTGTTGCTGCTGTCGAGAGGGGCGAGGCCCATACCGATGTAGCCGCCGCCGTCGAGAGGGGTGAGGCCCATGCCGGTGTAGCCGCCGCCGTCGAGAGGGGCGTTCCCCGGCCCGTTGTCGTCTCCCGCGTCCACGGCGGCGTCGGCGGCGAACGGGTCTGGGTCGTGGAGGCGAGTGGACACGGCCAGGGCGTCATGGGCGGAGGCGACCCGGGGCGCGGGTGGAGGCGTGGGCGGAGGCGGAGGCGGAGGCGGAGGCGGACGGAGAAGAGTCGTCCGTGCGGTAGAGTGTTGTGTGCGGAGGAAGAAGAGGATAGGGTAGGTGATTTGGATGACGCATGGGACCCATGCCTACAGGTTAAAACAAAGCAGAGAGGGACGGCGTATCACATTATGACTAAAAACTTAAGAAGGCGTTTTGGTAAGCGCCTCCAATTGATATGGTTTTTTAAGGCCACGCCTTCAATTGATACATGTTTTTAAGGCACTTTTAATATTAGCCTCTAAAAAAATGTCTTCCGAGGCGTTTTTTGATGAATGCCTTTATACAATAGAAAATTAAGGCATTTAGAGAAAAATGCCTTTAACAAAACGTCTCCTCTAAAAAGACGTATCGTAGCGAGTGCCATATCGCGGACATAGTTGACTCTCTAGTGCTAGGTCAGAGCACCTATCTAGAAGATGTGAATTTGTGTATTACTTCTTCATTGAAGCTTGATGGTCCGTTGAGAAGACCAAAACTACTCATTGGAGCCAGGGCGATTGCGAATCCCACTCAACTTCTCGCAACACCGCCCCTCGAACTAACAATGCCACTCTGTCGTCGGGTCGCTACTCGTTCTAATCAAGAAGATGTGTCCAGCCTAGATACGAAGGTCTTTATTACTCTCGAGACAACACTTGATGGATTGCCTACCAATGATGATGGGACACCGTGCCCAAAGGTTTCTACGGCTGCACAAGAATTCCTGAAGCATCCCTCCAAGGCATGGTGGCATGATGTTAATCCTCGTCTTTGTACTCTGGTGCCCCGTTGAGCCCGAAATTTCTATTATGGGCTCGAGCCTTGCTAATATCAGAGTATGAGAGAAACCGCCTTGACCAGGCAGGTATTTTGAAAGGCGTATTGGCTTGCATATGCCGGGTTAACTTGTCCTAGCCATTGATCCAAGCCTTTATTTCCTTCTGGAATTCTGACGGCATACTCTTTCTACTTCACAAGGTGAATTGGGTTACCCTTTAATGGTTATTCAGGAAGCAATGGGCATCCCTACATCAGGCCATGTGTATGTTGAATACGCTCCAGAGGACATTGTAAACGGCAAAGTGGCTCGCGAACTTTTTGCAGCTTACACTACTACAAAAATCTTTAGGCAGGCGGACGAAATGGGTTTTCGGAGGTGGGCAAAACAACCGCCTCCGTCGAAAGGTCTACATTAATGTAGACCTACAGAGGCGGGCGCTTTGCCGACCTCGGTTAATTCCTATTAACGGAGACGGTCACCCTAAGCTAACCGCCTCCGTTAATAGATTAACCGAGACGGTTGAGTTAAGATGCCTACCTCCATTAAAGGATTAATGGAGGTGGCTGGTTATTACTTGCCCACCTCCATTAATAATTTTCCAAATTAAAAATAGTTTCTCACCATTTGATTTGAATTTGAATCTATTTTCGTGAATTAAACACAGACAAAGTAGAAAATATGCATGCAGAGTTAAGTTGGCATAGTAATGGAAAGAATATAAATGGGGCTCGATGGCCCATTTCACTGACAGATTGGGTGGATTCTTTCTTAGAAGAAGATTCAGAGCATCTAGAGGGCTAGCAGCATATTCCTCTTTTGTCTTCTTATTATGTCACATGAAGATCCTCTACCAAAGGAATTGAACTTCCGCGTAGGGGGGTAATGGAGGACGGACACCCTTTTATCTTTATTTTTCTAATAAACTAATGAAGTTCAGAAAGGGTTATACATGTGTTCAGCTGCTGGCCGCTTTCATATCTACATGGTTGTGTTCGTATTGTGTTCCAGTAGGGCTAGGTGCATTCATACGGCTCGAAGTTTTTATGGTCGCAGTTTCAATCGCCTAGGGGATTCGGCGGAGCATCAGCTCATTTGTATAGCAGTGTTGATGATATCCTTCACTCCATCATTGAAAATGATAGCTCAACTAGTGAATGTGAATTACCTTTACCGGCGCATTTTATAATGGGTGGTATGCATGGTTTTGGAAGGCCTTGCCACAACAGCCCATTTCCTTGTCACTTATCACAGGTTCACCACCCTTCGTTATCGATGTCTCACACGATACAAAAGAGAAGATTAACCTACGAGATGCGCATCACCTATATTTTGGATGCTGCTGAAGATGGTTGTTCTCTACAGGCCCTGGATGTCATAGGGAGATATATTGAGAGCTTGTTTCCGAGAGGGCCAATCAAATGTGATTGAAGACAGATGAGGGGCCGAGAATGATAGAAGGCCACTCACGCTTTTAGAAGTTGATATGCTAATCAGCAGCAGCTTGGGTCTAAACCAAGCATCTCCATGTAGGACCATGCGAAGCAATCATGATATTGCATCAAAAACTGCCTATAGTCTTCAGTTCCTTGGGCGTAAGAGTGGCGCTCACGAACGTATCACTCCCCAGGTTTATTTTAATCAACTCATCAATGGTGTGTTGTACGTCATCCTCCAGCTCTTCAGGGGCAGGGGCTACATTCAAAATGATTCAAATTGCTTTTAAAATGATTTGAAAACGGTTTTAAAATAAAAAGAAAAAGAAAAACTCTTCTCCCTCTCTCTCTCGTCACCGGCTCGGCTTGCTTCCTTCTCTCTCCCTGCGCAACCTAGCGACCAGTCGGCCCACTCCCGCTTTCTCCCGCTACGGCCCATCTTTCCTCCATTCCCGTAGCCTGCTCCGCTCTCCTTCATCCGCAGGCCAGCTCCACTCTATCCCGGCCTAGCCAGCCGCACGCTGCAGCCGTGTCCCGCCCCCTCTCTTCCTCTGACTGCCTAGCCCCGCCCTCCGTGACGCTGACCAACCAGGCCCACGCGTCAGCACCTTCTTCCCCGAGTTGCCTTCGTCTTCCCCGCCCGACTCCGCCGCCGCCACGCCTCGTCCGCCTTGCCGTGCGTGCCAAGATGCTCCCCGAGCCATAAATGGTAGCCACCTGCACCGCGCCACTACCCCACATAACCCTCAACAGCAGCCGCCTCGCTCGCTGAGTCGCCGCGTCACCACCGTAGCCCTAGGCCGCCATAGCCGTCCGTCGCCGAGCACCGCGTCTCGTCACCATGTCATCTCCAACCGTGAAAAGTGTCGAGGTGAGGTTGCCTTGCCATCCTCTATCTTCTCGTGCAATCCCCGAGTCCAACCGTGGCCTCTAGGGCCAGTTTTGTGTGCGCCGACGAGGTCCATCGCCGCCGGCCATGTCCTCCACCGAGCTAGCTCCCTGTTCCAGCCGGCCGCGCCTTCTTTCTCCCTCCCTCTTCTAATCCAGGCTGCCCAAATTCAATCCAACGGCCGAGATCGGTCGGTACCTCTTCACCGGCAAACTTTCAAAAGAGTCCCTCCACTTTTCCATATCTGAACCCGCAACCCATAGTATATTTCCATAATACGTCTTTTTCTTTGGAAAGCGTAGTTTTCTTTGGTTAGATTCAAAATACGCTTTCATCTATTTACAGTTTTGCCACTATTTTTGTTTAGGCCATAACTTTTTCGTTTTAACTCCGATTTGATCTGTTCAAGTTACGTTGGATTCATAATTGCGTAATCTACATGTTCATCCTACTGTTAAATATATTATCAACTTTTGAATTTCGAGGCTAGATTTAATCTATTATTTTATTAAAGAAAATCTTGTTTAATTCATAACTTTTTCGTTATAGCTCCGATTAGAGTGCTTTTTGCGTCTGTGTGTTCGTAGCAAGACATAGATTTATTTTACAAACTTTTCATCTTGATTTTATGTTTGATGTACTGTTCTAATTTAGATCTATTGTTTGCTTCATGTATGATTGCATGGATACTTGTGTGGTGCTTTATGATCATGTCCGGTCGGTGAGCTTTGCGTTGGTGATATAAAAGAAGTTGGTGATTTAGAAGAAGTCCTTTAGAGGTTATAATTCAATAGAAGAATGATCTGAATTTAAGGCAAGTATAACATGGGATCTTTCTTGTTGTCCTATTCACCTTAATATCATTTTAATCATATGCATGTGTCTACCTTGGCAACCGTGGTAATTTTCTTAGCTATTTGATATCCTGGATTCCTTAATTCCTATAGATTATTGCATTGGGTAGTATGATGCTAGTGCTCAACTAAAGTCATGATCTTGTAACTTGACTAATGGTATATGCAATAAACATTAAAAGATGCTTTTTAGCAACACGGAACAAGGAGGCTAGAGCATTGGACAGTTTTATGGTGCTCTAGAATCCTCTCCCTAAGAACTTATCTGTAAGCGAACATCCGGGACTTACAGTACAGCTGTGAGGGCTACGTGGCTCTGGCTTTAGCTCAGTATGAGGACATTTTCAAGCTTGTTAGTGGTTACCTTTATGGCGCAAGAGGGGCTCCAACAGGTATGATCTCAGCTACCAAGAGGGTGCGCTTTAATTTTTTGGTATTTTGTTAGTCACTCCTTGAAGGGGGTTCATGCTTATTGATGGGGAAACCTTAGCGGCCCTAACTTGTTAGACGAACCTTTAAAATGCTTCATAGTGAACCCTGCCGACCTTCCTTGCTAGTGGGTCAAGAGGTTGGCCGTCTCGGGCGAAAGGGTAAATTATGACTCACAGTGAAAGTGGACAACCTCTGCAGAGTGTAAAACTAGTATATCAGCCGTGCTCATGGTCATGAGCGGCCTTGGACCCTTACGGAATAGATGAAGAACACGGATGATACCGATGATGAAGATGCACACTAATGATTACTGTTTATGCCGTTCATTATTCATATTTACCTGATCATGTGTTTACATGGGCTGTGATAAACTTGTTGCTATTCAATTGCTTAAAATTGTGACTCACTAAAAGCTAATCGCAGTAAACCAGTGTCGACCTTTTGAGCCTCATGAGCCCCATGTTATATTTGTTGAGTACGACATGTACTTACGCTTGCTTTACTTTTTAAACCTTTGGAAAAATCCCGGATGGGTACCAGATTGCTAGTCTGGAGGAGTTAGGCTTGTGATCAACCAGTCAGTTGTCCCTGTGAATTGGAGTCTTCACCCGAAGATCGGAGTTGTCTTTCCGTGTTTGCTGTCTAAAGTTATATCATTTATACTAAGTATGTTATATATTAAGCATTGTCTATTGATATTACCTTTATTTGTAACTATATGTGAGATTTGACTTTCTAGGCTCACATATGGTGTGTATCTGGTATTGTCCTTAAAACCGGGTGCTACACTTTCTGACAATTCTCCATTGATGGTTATCTTAGTACTTCCCTCCGGTCCAGTTTATAAGACATTAATTTGCTTAAGTCAAGAGTCAAATTTTATAATGTTTGACCAGTAATTTAGCTATTAACTTTTAATTATTGTAATACAAACTTAATATAATTATATTTGTAATCAGATGTACTATCTAATAATCATAAACAATATATATAAGATAAACGAAAGACGATCAAAGTGTAATTTACAAGACGGTGTCACGTCAGAAGATGCCTTATAAACTGATGAATCGGAGGGAGTACATCTCATGCTAGCTGTTGATTGACCTATTTTTTTC